TATATATATATACACACACATGTAATTAAGTTAGATGTGCATACATATGCATTTCTATGTATACATGATTCATATTCATATTGAGAGAGTAATAAATAGAAAAAGAGAGAGAGAGAGAGAGAGAGAGAGCGAGAGAGACAGAGAGAGAGAGAGACGGAGAGGGATGCCTGTTGTCTGTGCCGGGAAAGCTTTCTCAGCTATCTGTGAGTCGAACACCCTCATCCACGAAAGCTGCCACACCCAACGTGCTCTAAACTCCGAGGCCACGGAGACACCCAATATGGGAACAGCGATGTGGCTGTTGTCCTAATGAGAGACAATGCCAATACTAAACTTGACACTGTCAGCCAAGGAAGCCTGAGCAAACCAGCAATCTCCACACTTCCGTGAATAACTCCATGGATCCCTGAACCCACTAAATTCCCTGTCGTGCTGGACTCAGAACATGTAACAAAAGGCAGACAACCAGTCTGAGACAATGAAAGCCTGGTGAGCTGTCAAGACATCCTGTCATACCTGCAAAGCGTGTAACAAAGGACAATCTTCCGGTCGACAGAAACTTCAAGACAACATGAAACCACTTGTGAACTACAGGCTGCGAGCCCTCAGTTCAAAAATCTTATGAAGACTTCCATCGAAGCAACTTTTGATCTGGAGCCTGAAGCCACGACTGAACACTCTTTTAGCCCTAAACCCTACACTAAACAAAGAAGCACACCTAGACTGAATCCTGAACTTGCAGGTGAGGCCCGGGCCGAAAGTGTTCGGGTCTGCTTTGGCCCCGTCTTCAATCGGATCTGACCACAAAATGTTGAAAAGCCTGGCTGATTGCTGCGTTCGGGTTCCGCCCCAGGTTTTTTTCAAGTTAGGCATGTAGGGGTCGATTTCGATAAAATATACAACTGCTTGAGCCTTTATGTACGGCGTGATCAACTATCCCATGATATCCCATGTATGGTTGCTGTCATTACATAGGTAAGCCGCTGAGGCAAGGCGGTTCAGGTTGTAGGGTCGTAGGGGTACAGTCAGTTTGCGGTTTCAGGACTGAGGGAGCGGGACTAGGCCCAAACCCAGACCCAAGGAGGAAAGTAGGTGTCCTGAACCCAGAAAGCCTGAAATGCAGTCCCGGTACATCTGACTACTTTGGCATACTGTTCAAGTGAATAATGATTCTTGAGGCCCCTATGTTCCGCTTGGAGGAACAGCAGGTTGCTCCCTTGGACAACTTCTAGGAAGTTGGAAGGAAACAGAGTACTCTCTGTTGGATAGGTTTCCTTTCGCAGCAGATCGAACTCATTTCCCAAAGAGCCACCAGGCTGTCTAGAACGACCCCTGCAGAGCCGCAAGAATACAGCAACACATTGCAATACATGATGGTTCAGAATACAAGTTACAAGCGGCACGGGCTTTGGGAGTTCAGGGGTTCGGCGCAGGCTCTACTTTTCGACTTAGGTGTCGGGGCAGAAAGACAGAAACAGGTCGGAAGCACCAGCTGTTTTCCTGTCGCAGAAGGCAAGAAATCAAGCAAGTGCCAGCTGGGGACACTGAGCCAAGCTACTAAGCCCCAGTCTGAGGCTACCAGCCTAGACTCTCTCTAATATTTGGATCCCAACCCTGCTGTTGCCTGGGGTCTCAATCCTGACAACTTGCCGGAGGAACTCCCTGGGCCCCCGACATGTCTAGGGTGTTAGGAGAGTTGTAACAGGACAAGGAGGACACAACACTGCAACTTCCAAACATGGCAGCGGCATCGCAGCGCCCAGAGAGGGAGAGAGAGAGAGAGAGAGACGGAGAGAGTGCGAGCGAGAGAGTGAGAGAGAGAGCGAGCGAGCGAGATAGCGAGAGAGAAAGAGAGAGAGAGAGAGAGAGAGAGAGAGAAAGAGAGCGAGACAAAACAAAAGAGATAGTGCAGGAGACTCGGAGAGAGAAAGAGAGAAACCGCCAGGGAGAGGGAGGGGATGGGAGTGGGAGAGAGTGAGGGAGAGATAGAGAGAGATGTATGGAGAGAGACTGAGACAGCTAGATAACTGCAAGACGGCAGCACTACATTGAGCTGCGGAGGAATGGCAGGACTGGCCCTCCCATGCCCGTTCATCTGCCACAACATATTCAATTTCGGGTTCCGAGAAATGGATCGGATCCCAACAAACACCGTGGTTCTTAGGGCTTGGTTCTTGCAGGCAACGTTATTTCTTGGGCGAGGGTTGCGGCGTCTCGGGCTTAAGGACTCGGGTTTGAGGTTCAAGGCTCGAGGTCACCTAGGCCATCCATCGTCGCTCCTTGTCAATCACCAACCTCAAGTTTCGGACTGGGTTTGAAAACTCTACGTATATCCCTAAAGGCCCACCAAACCACTGCACCCCAAGCACCGAAGAACTACACCGAGCCCTAAGCGCCACAACCACAGCTTTAATCCCTAATCCCGAAAAGACGAACCCTATAAAGCTCTTGACAGCATTGATCCCTGAAGCCTAAACCTTTTACTTCATTTCGTTTTGAAGGCAGAGCCCTTTTAGAGAGTCCAGCTGCAAAGTACCGATGATAGCCGGCCTTCGAGAGGATCCTCTCAGAAGGAAGAGGCCTCTCAGAGCTTTGGTATACTGGGGCCTTGATCAAATTAGAATAGGACCGAGTTTCGCGTTGATGGTGTAGGGATTGAAAGGAGTTGCTTTCTTGTTTAGGGGTCCCCCGTGCCACGATTGAGGGTTCATAGTTCGGAGCGTCAGGCGTGCAGCCTGTGAGATCAAGTGTTTGAGTTCAGGCTTCAGCGGGTTGAGATCGAGGGTTTCAGGCTCAGGGTCTCAAAACTAGAGAATGGGATCTGAAACAACGCGGCTACCAGTAGCATCCATCGTTGAATCAAGCACCGGTCGCACACCATCGCTTTGTCTGACTACGAAGCACCTGCATCTGCAGAACCAAGCCAATTCGGCTAATGCCGCTTATGCCCCTGCACATAAAGCCGTGGTTGCAAAGACTCCCAGGTGATATTCGTGCAATGTTGTGGGTTACCATGGAAGCCACCGTCTCAACTGCGTCATGAAAATACACAACAGAAAAGCATCCAACATCAAGAAATCACTCCTACTACTGCTGCATTCCCTTTCTCCACCCATCAAAAAGTCCTGCAATCCGATGCCATTCGGACTTCTGTCTGCCGGACCTTCAGCCCGCGATACTCGAGCGGAGCAATGGGGGCTTTTGTGGTAGCTAATTGGGTTGAGGTATAGGATTCCCTACTAGTGTTGAGTACCCAAAGTCAATTAATCCTTTCTACGGCCCCTTTACTGCCAAGCCCTGAGCGCCAGATGCGACATCCTCCTAGGCCCCCAAAATGACCACCCTCCAACTCGGTCTTGGCCTCCTATGAATACCTGGACCTATTGAGCAAGGAAGCTGCGGCCGAACCGGTGCTCCCACACTGCCAAGTATCATCGTGCCCCTCTTTTCATTTCACAGGGATCCGAACTTCTCAAGAAAGCAGGGAGCCGAAGGCGCCTCGCCACATTCCAGATGTCGCTGAGGCCCCACATCCCATCACCTGCAATTTGGCGAAGCTTGGTCTTTGCAGCTTGACCTACTGAATGCCGCTGATCGGCGCTACATGGCTCATGCTCGAGCATTGGCCCATGGTGAGTATTGCTTAAGTGCGAAATTCCGCTTGCACCAGTGCGGATGAAGGGAAGCGACTATTTATAAAATACTTATGCTTGCATGTGCTGGGTTTATGCACTCATCTAGCTATCAGTACCTACTGGCACACATGCATGAAGGCACGCTTACATACATGCATACATACATACGTACACGCAGGCGGGCTGGCAGGCAGACAAACAGACCGGCGGACAGACAAACACACGGACAGACAGACAGGCAGACGGACAGGTGCACACACAGACAGACAGACAGACAGGCAGACACACAAACAAACAGACAGCCAGGCAGGCAGACAGGCAAACAGACAGACTTTGTTGGGTGCGTCGGAACCGTTCGTTTTATGGTTAATGCACTGGGCCTGCCTGCATGCCACAAGCATGCACGACAGCGCCTGCATACTTGTCATTCTAGCCAACCATCCGTATGCATATACGCACGCGCCTAGGTACAGACACATGCGTAGCATTTACATGGCCCCATCCGTTTTTGTCTAGACACATACTTAGACACATACGGGTATTTATGTGTATACATATGAGCGGCTGACTAAACCTATGGTTCGACGTAAAGCCCGCGAGAACTCAGGTCGGCCCCTATCGGTTATGCAGGGATCAGCTAGAATATGCCCAGGGGTGACCCCTATCGGTTTTGCAGGGATNNCAATCTCGTGTCCACTCTAGTACTGATTACCTCTTCCGGAGGTTTAGTCCGATGCTCATATGTATTTGCACGTGTATGTTTATGTATATTCCTTTGTGTATGTGTACGTCAAATATTTTTTTGAAGATGTATATGTCTACAAACAGGTAAGTACACAGCTACACAGATGGGTATCAACAATAAACTACACAGCAAAATTAGCCAGTGGGTGCATCAGCGTGTTTGTGCACGTGTCTATACAAACTTACCGTGCAACTGTATATGTACACGGTTACAAGCCCCTGTGCATGTCAACACAAATAAGCAAGCACTTTAGCAGTCAAGTGCACACACATACATCATATATATATATATATGTACACACACATACCTACTCATGAACATGACCAATACATACACGCACAGTAACAGTATCATCCGCATGGGCGGACGCACAACAAACGCGGAGACATGTGCACTCACGAAGACATCTCCACACACACACACACACACACACGCCTCTGTATAGTCGTGTAAACATGTAGACATATCTGCAAGCAGCTGTGCATACCTACGTACATAACAGCGAAACACATCCTGCTGTTTCTTGTGGTCTGGGCCGGGGCTGCACGTGACTAATGCATGAATGACAAACACTTCGCAGGCCACAACCTGCATGTTGTGTGGGCACTGTTACAGCCCGTAACGGATAGCGGGATTGCTTTCCATCACTTTTCTAAATTCTATGTCGACGGTTGTTGCGACTGCCCTACATCATGCTGCGACGGCGACGAGAACCTGCTTCAGCAATTTGTTGCAACTCGTTGGTCCGAGGAACCGACCCGGCCCATACTCGCAAACTCAGCCTAAATCCTCAGGGCGTGCAGCAAGAACAGCTAGACCTCAACGACCCCCCAAATCCATCACAAAGACGGAATGTCACAACTATCGTACGTCGACCGCTTACGCACTAATGGTCCCAAGCGACACGAAGCAAAAGGAATGTAAGCCCTCAGTTCCTCAAGACCAAACTCAACACCACCCCCTCCCCCACACTGGAAGCTCGCTAGACGATGTAAGCCTCATGCTCAAAGCTCTGAACCACGAAGCACCCTGGAGCCTCCAGCAACAAAACCCAGGAGGCGCACCTATGCCCCCGTGCAAGACCAGCGCCCTGTTGGCGATGAGACACGCCAGAGGCCTCAGAAGGAATTGGGGTTTCAGGATAAGCCCTGACGAAATTCATTTGGGTGCTGTGTGGTTCAGAGAATAAGTAACATAGATAGTAACGCAATAAAGAACCGTTACGTTACACGCACACACAACCATCTCTTGTCCTGTCAGAAGACATCCATGTGTGCAGGCGCGCGTGTATGTCGTATGCATATGTATGTGTAGATGTGCGTACGTATATACATATATATATATATGTACATATGTATCTTCGTATAGATACTATCATCCGGTTCTGACAGCTGTGGCCATGACGAGTAGACCCACTAAGGCTTGCCATATGGTCGTTGG